GTGACGCTCGAGCGTAGCGGACTGATTTGAGTAGACCCCCGAGGAGAGACGAGAGAGTGACTGAGAGAGAGAAACTTTCTCGGAGAGGAGAGATTTGTAATGGACTGAAGAGAGAGATAGAGGAGCAGGCCACCGCCCTCCCCCTGCGCGAGAGAGAGATGTGAGCGCCGAGAGAGAAGAAGAGAGGCACGGAGAGTGACGACAGTGGAGGATGGAGAGAGAGACGAAGAGAGGAGAGAGAATGAGGCGATCTGAGCGAGACGGAGATGATGAGCAGAGAGCGAGATTGCCGAGGACACGACCGAGAGCACGAGAGAGAGATTGAGACGTCGAGCGGCGTCTGAGAGAGAGAGAGAGCTAGAGAGAGAGAGCGCTTTTTTTGAGGAGAATTGAGAGAGATTGTACGAGGCAATGAGGAGACGAGTTAGAGAGAGATTGACTTGGGACGCAGAGAGCGCTCTGATTGTGTTTTTCTCTCTCTGCCGAGAGAGAGAGAGGTGTAGGAGCCGAGTGAGAAGAGAGATTTTGTATTGTTAGAGAGAGTTTTCTTCTTTACTTCTTGAGAGAGCAGAGAGACAAGAGAGAGAGAGAGAAGAGGGAAGAGAGAGAGAAGAGAGAGAGAGAGAGAGAAGAGAGAGAGAGAGAGACCGAAGATGAGAGAGAGAGAGGAGAGACGAGAGAAGGAGAGAGAGAGACGTGTGGGGGAAGGGGTCAACACATTGGGAAAGATTTAGAGAAGACAGGGTTAGTAGATGATAGATAGGGCAGGGAAACTTAAAGGGGGAGTTTATACCACTTTTCAACCTCATATTCATTATCTCCAGCACCACACCAATGTCCATGTGAAAATGGCGAGTTTCTATTTTCTGAAGTTAAAAAGAGAAGAAATGTCCTAAAAAAAAGTGCAATCTGATTACATCAGCCAGGGGGATGGCATCTTCCTGCTTCCTGCGTGACTGCGGATCTCATGGTCCTCCCCACCTCCCCACCGTTCTATTTTGTAATGTTTTTACTTTCCATGACATCATCAAATTGCACTTTTTGTAGAGCATCTTTTTATCTGCAGATCTTAGAAATGCGCTGTTTTCACTTACAGTATGTAAACACTGGTATGGAGCTGGAGATTGTGCATATGAGGGAGAGAAAGGTTGAATGTTGCATTTCTGAAGAAACATGATGTGCAGGATACAGTGGGGTTTGAGCGACACTTCACAACGTTCTCAGAACTTGAACTATGTTGTCTTTGTCAATGCAAAGTTCAGTGACGATGCTCATTAGAGGAGGCAGATAAAGTGGGACAGTGAGGTTATTGACATGGGGCGGAATCATTTAGGAACCAAAACGGAAGCAAACGGGACGAAACGGGGAGGGACCTACCTGAATTTGTCCAATAGAAACTCTTGTTTTCGATGTAAAACGTTTTCAGTTGCAAAAAGTTTAGCTACGGTGTGCACTAACGAATACACCCGAGGAGTTGTCTGTGGTTAGTTGTAGTCATTGGTGCACTTGGCCAAACAGTAGCTTCGTTAGATGAACATATGCAGTTGTCAGCTTAGGACATTCATTGTCTCTTTTCCAAGGCCTGAGGTGATTCACACAGTACTTCAAATAAACAGTTAGATGATAAAAAATATTACTCATGGCCTACCATAGAATGAAACAGTGGCATTCATAGCAGTGTAACATTTTATAACAAGGTATGTGTTTACTACAATGATCAGTGCATGATATTTACTTGTATTTCTGGTACAGTATATAAAATAGAATTGAGTTGAATAGAATCAGTCTTCATTTGTCTTGTGACGGAAATTTATATTTTGCTCTGCAAACACATACAAAGAGGAGCCCAGAGTTAGCCGCAGTCTATGCAGGGGTTAAGTGCCTTGTTCAAGGGCACAATGGTAATATGTAATAATATGGTAGCTATGAACCTGCCGGTTCATTTGAACCAGCAACCTTCCAGCAATTGTGACTAAAACTTCTCTCTCTTCTCCTCCCTCTATCTCTCTCTCTCTCTACATTCTCTCTATCTCTCTATCCTCTCTCTGCCTCTCTCTCTGCCTCTCTGTCTGCCTCTTGCTCTATCTCTTCTTGCCTCTCTCTCTCTCTCTCTCTCTCTCTCTCTCTCTCTCTCTCTCTCTCTCAGAGATGTAGCCTCTGTCTACATCTGTCCTCAGACATTTAAGGCCCACCATGCTGTTCTTTCCTGCTGCTGGTCTTTCAAGCCAATGCCAATGCCCAGATCGACCCAGGTGAGTCAGCTGCAGCCACTCCCCCGTCCCATTGTTGCCCGTCACCTGGTGGACATGCACATTGCTAACCAATTGGGATCAGTCACCTATTAGTACCTGGATTGGTCCCAGGATTAGTCACCTATTAGTCCCTGGATTGGTCACTGGATTAGTCACCTACAGTGCCTTGCAAAAGTATTCATCCCCCTTGGCATTTTTCCTATTTTGTTGCATTACAACCTGTAATTTAAATGGATTTTTATTTGGATTTCATGTAATGTACATACACCAATTTGGTGAAGTGAAAAAAATAACTTGTTTCAAAAAAATCTAAAACATAAATAACGGAAAAGTGGTGCGTGCATATGTATTCAGCACCATTGCTATGAAGCCCCTAATTAAGATCTGGTGCAACCAATTACCTTCAGAAGTCACATAATTAGTTAAATAAAGTCCACCTGTGTGCAATCTAAGTGTCACATGATCTGTCACATGATCTCAGTATATATACACCTGTTCTGAAAGGCCCCAGAGTCTGCAACACCACTAAGCAAGGGGCACCACCAAGGAGCTCTCCAAACAGGTCAGGGACAAAGTTGTGGAGAAGTACAGATCAGGGTTGGGTTATAAAAAAATATCAGAAACTTTGAACATCCCACGGAGCACCATTAAATCCAATGTAAAAAAAATTGAAAGAATATGGCACCACAACAAACCTGCCAAGAGAGGGTCGCCCACCAAAACTCACGGACCAGGCAAGGAGGGCATTAATCAGAGAGGCAACCAAGAGACCAAAGATAACCCTGAAGGAGCTGCAAAGCTCCACAGCGGAGATTGGAGTATCTGTCCATAGGACCACTTTAAGCTGTACACTCTATAAAGCTGGGATTTACGGAAGAGTGGCCAGATAAAAGCCATGTAAGAGACTCCCCAAACATATGAAAGAAGGAACTCTGGTCAGATGAGACTAAAATTGAGCTTTTTGGCCATCAAGGAAAATGTCTGGTGCAAACCCAACACCTCTCATCACCCCGAGAACACCATCCCCACAGTAAAGCATGGTGGTGGCAGCATCATGCTGTGGGGATGTTTTTCATCGGCAGGGACTGGGAAACTGGTCAGAATTGAAGGAATGATGGATGGCGCTAAATACAGGGAAATTCTTGAGGGAAACCTGTTTCAGTCTTCCAGAGATTTGAGACTGGGACGGCGGTTCACCTTCCAGCAGGCCAATGACCCTTTTTTAAATTTATTTTTATTTAACTTTTATTTAACTAGGCAAGTCAGTTAAGAACAAATTATTTACAAATTATTTACAATGACGGCCTACACCGGCCAAACCCGGACGACGCTGGGCCAATTGTGCGCCGCCCTATGGGACTCCCAATCATGGCCGGTTGTGATACAGCCTGGAATCAAACCAGGGGGTCTGTAGTGACACCTCAAGCACTGAGATGCAGTGCCTTAGACCGCTGCGCCACTCGGGAGCATACTGCTAAAGCAACACTTGAGTGGTTTAAGGGGTAACATTTAAATGTCTTGGAATGGCCTAGTCAAAGCCCAGACCTTAATCCAATTATGAATCTGTGGTATGACTTAAAGATTGCTGTACACCAGCGGAACCCATCAAACTTGAAGGAGCTGGAGCAGTTTTGCCTTGAATAATGGGCAGAAATCCCAGTAGCTAGATGTGCCAAGCTTATAGAGACATACCCCAAGAGACTTGCAGCTGTAATTGCTGCAAAAGGTGGCTCTACAAAGTATTGACTTTGGAGGGGGGGTGAATAGTTATGCACGCTCAAGTTCTTTTTTTGGTCTTATTTCATGTTTGTTTCACAAAAATATATATTTTGCATCTTCAAAGTGGTAGGCATGTTGTGTAAATCAAATGATACAAACCCCCCCAAAATATATTTTAATTCCAGGTTGTAAGGCAACAAAATAGGAAAAATTACAAGGGGGGTGAATACTTTCGCAAGCCACTGTATTAGTCCCTGGATTGGTCCCTGGATTAGTCACATAGTAGTTCCTGGATTAGTCCCTGGATTAATCCCTGCGTTGGTCCCAATTATCTCTCCTTCCTCCCAAAATGTACACTTGTTCACTTCCCTTCACTGATTTGAAAGGAAGTGACTGGTGGAAAAAATATGGTGGAAATTCCCACTAGCACATGCCACCAATTATCAAATGCTTTTAGATTTGTGGTCAGTATTGAACAAGTGGACACTTCAGGAGAAAGGAGATATTATTTGGGACGCACCCCATATTTAAGTCTCCCCTCTTTAAAACCCAACTGTAATTTCCCTCCATTGGATTCGGAGGGCTTCTTTTTGCTAGCCCAACTGACCTACCTACGTCAATACCTCAAATTCTCTGGCACTCATCCGTACATATACACACATACACTGACCGTTCAGTCCCTGCAGGCTTCATGTAGATGCTGTATTTCACAGGTTCATTTTAAAAAGTACCAAGGCAGTACAGGGTGAAGTTGCCCCTTGACACTGATCTTGGGTCATTTTAGCATTTTCCCCACTAATGGTTAAGGTTATGATTGAGGGGGAGAAGTTGATCCTATATTTACATTTTTTGTAATTTAGCAGACGCTCTTCTCCAGAGCAACTTCCAGTTAGTGCATTCACCTTAAGATAGCCAGCGTAGATGAGACCACTGCATATCAGCCATAGTAAGTACATTTGTCCTCAACGCCAGAGACAATATGACCAGTAATGACCTCACGTCCACTTTCTGCTGACTCCTCTATGGCAGCACACTGCCGCTACCCTCTTGGCATGGAGGATGGCAGAATCAAAGACCATGACATCACCGCCTCCAGCCAATGGTACGAGACCACCGGGCCACAATATGCCAGGTAAGTGTTCATTGATTACAGCACAGCACAATGCCTAGTGTATGAAGTGTGACATTAATCTTTCGTTGCATTCTTGGACTGTGGTAAAAAAATACACAAATCCCTTTCTTCCTGCATTCCATTCATTTGCTTCCTTTATCTTCCTCTCTGTGCCCCACTCTCTCCTCTTCATATTTATTGATTTAGTGGTATCCCAATTTGTTGCAACTTATTGATGATGAACTTTCCATACATTTAGTCATCATTTAGTCATCTTTCCATACATTTAGTCATCATTTACATTTAGTCATCTTTCCATACATTTAGTCATCATTTAGTCATCTTTCCATACATTTAGTCATCTTTCCATACATTTATTCATCATTTAGGCATCATTTAGGCATTATTTAGTAATCTTCTATATTTGTCTCTGTTTTATATATTGGTAAAAAAATAATAATCACATTTTATGTACGTTCATGCATTTTTTAGTATTTTTTTTTTAACCTTTATTTAACTAGGCAAGTCAGTTAAGAACAAATTCTTATTTACAATGACGACCTAATATGTACCAAGATGTTCAAATCAACCTAAACCTATCTGGGTGCAGGTTGAACCGGGAGGAGGGTGACGGGGCGTGGTGCCCAGCGGGGCTCCTGCAGCCCTCTGACACCCAATACCTGCAGGTCGACCTGGGCCAGCTCACCTTCCTGACAGTGGTGGGCACCCAAGGCCGCTACGCCCGGAACTCGGGTAAAGAATTTGCCCGCATGTACCGCCTGAACTACAGCCACGATGGCCAGCTCTGGAGGTCCTGGAGGAATCGCCTTGGCAACAAGGTGAGGGAGTGAGGGAAGTAAGGAGTGCAGGAAAGGGAAGTGGCATAAAGAATGAGGGGAAGGGAGGGGAAAAGTAGTGTGTTATGTCCTTTCCATATGTTTATAACTATTATGAGCCATTTGAGGGGAAATATTTTTTTGTTGTTGCTGAAATGACCAGAGCACAAACATTCTGAATTTGGCTGACAAATATATAGAGTATGTTTAGTTGTGGTCAAATACAGTTGTAGATGGACAAACAACAGAGGAAAGGATTTTGTCCAGGCTAGGCCAAATAAATATTCTGTAGGCTTTGGAATGATTGTAAAACCAGAATGCATTGCATTACAGTGTTGTGTTCCACGAGACAAAGTGTAAATAGGGATTATTATGGGTGTAATTTATTATAGAATATATGCTATTTAGCTATTTAGCCAATACAGTGGGGAGAACAAGTATTAGATACACTGCCGATTTTGCAGGTTTTCCTACTTACAAAGCATGTAGAGGTCTGTAATTTTTATCATAGATACACTTCAACTGTGAGAGACGGAATCTAAAACAAAAATCCAGAAAATCTCATTGTATGATTTTTAAGTAATTCATTTGCATTTTATTGCATGAGATAAGTATTTGATCACCTACCAACCAGTAAGAATTCCGGCTCTCACAGACCTGTTAGTTTTTCTTTAAGAAGCCCTGCTGTTCTCCACTCATTACCTGTATTAACTGCACCTGTTTGAACTCATTACCTGTATAAAAGACACCTGTCCACACACTCAATCAAACAGACTCCAACCTCTCCACAATGGCCCAGACCAGAGAGCTGTGTAAGGACATCAGGGATACAATTGTAGACCTGCACAATGCTGGGATGGGCTACAGGACAATAGGCAAGCAGCTTGGTGAGAAGGCAACAACTGTTGGCGCAATTATTAGAAAATGGAAAAAGTTCAAGATGACGGTCAATCACCCTCGGTCTGGGGCTCCATGCAAGATCTCACCTCGTGGGGCATCAATGATCATGAGGAAGGTGAGGGATCAGCCCAGAACTACATGGCAGGACCTGGTCAATGACCTGAAGAGAGCTGGGACCACAGTCTCAAAGAAAACCATTAGTAACACACTACGCCGTCATGGATTAAAATCCTGCAGCGCACGCAAGGTCCCCCTGCTCAAGCCAGCGCATGTCCAGGCCCGTCTGAAGTTTGCCAATGACCATCTGGATGATCCAGAGGAGGAATGGGCGAAGGTCATGTGGTCTGATGAGACAAAAATAGAGCTTTTTGGTCTAAACTCCACTTGCCGTGTTTGGAGGAAGAAGAAGGATGAGTACAACCCTAAGAACACCATCCCAACCGTGAAGCATGGAGGTGGAAACATCATTCTTTGGGGATGCTTTTCTGCAAAGGGGACAGGACGACTGCACCGTATTGAGGGGAGGATGGATGGGGCCATGTATCGCGAGATCTTGGCCAACAACCTCCTTCCCTCAGTAAGAGAATTGAAGATGGGTCATGGCTGGGTCTTCCAGCATGACAACGACCCAAAATACACAGCCAGGGCAACTAAGGAGTGGCTCCGTAAGAAGCATCTCAAGGTCCTGGAGTGGCCTAGCCAGTCTCCAGACCTGAACCCAATTGAACATCTTTGGAGGGAGCTGAAAGTCCGTATTGCCCAGCGACAGCCCCGAAAGTGGGCCAAAATCCCTGCTGCAGTGTGTGCAAACCTGATCTACAGGAAACGTATGATCTCTGTAATTGCAAACAAAGGTTTCTGTACCAAATATTAAGTTCTGCTTTTCTGATGTATCAAATACTTATGTCATGCAATAAAATGCAAATTAATTACTTAAAAATCATATAATGTGATTTTCTGGATTTTTGTTTTAGATTCCGTCTCTCACAGTTGAAGTGTACATATGATAAACATTACAGACCTCTACATGCTTTGTAAGTAGAAAAACCTGCAAAATCGGCAGTGTATCAAATACCTGTTCTCCCCACTGTATATGCTTTCATCCAAAGTGACAGGAGTACATGCATATATTCTCATATTGGTGACCTCACCAGGAATCGAACCCACAACCTTGACAGCACCAAGCTCCACCCACTGAGTCACACAGGACCGCTCTGTAATTGAACTAGTTCTAATCTCTTGTCAGACAATGGAGGCGAACGACAACGCCTATGCCTCTGTGATCAAAGACCTGCACCCTCCCATCATCAGCCGCTACCTCCGTCTCATCCCCGTCACCAAGATGCCCACCACTGTGTGTATGAGACTGGAGCTGTATGGGTGCCCCTGGCATGGTGAGAGCTCCACACACACACACATGCATGCGCACACACGTACACCATTGGAGGTATAGTCATGTGTGTGTGGTCACCCAGATCAGTGGAGGCTCCTCAGAGGAGGAAGGGGAGGACCATCCTCCTCAGTGAATTTCATTAAAAAATATTTTTTTAAATATTTTAAAAAGTTATCCTTTTTAGATCAAAACTATACTAAATATAATCACGTCACCAAATAATTGATTAAAACACACTATTTTGCAAAGAAGGTCTACAGTAGCCTCCACAGCACTCTGTAGGGTAGGACCATGGTGTAGCCAGAGGACAGCTAGCTTCCGTCCTCCTCTGGGTACACTGACTTCAATACAAAAACCCAGGAGGCTCATGGTTCTCACCCCCTTCCATAGACTTACACAGTAATTATGACAACTTCCAGAGGACGTCCTCCAACCTATCAGAGCTCTTGCAGCATGAACTGATATGTTGTCCACACAATCAAAGGATCAGAGAATGAATCTAGCACTGAAAGCATAAGCTACAGCTAGCTAGCACAGCAGTGCATAACATGTGGTGAGTAGTTGACTCAAAGAGAGAGAAAGACAATAGCTGAACAGTTTTGAATAAATTAATTTCTTCCAAAATGGAGAAGCAAGAGAGAAATAGAGAGAGAGATTTTGTCATTTCTTTTCACTTTCAGTTTCACTTACCTAGCAAATGCAGCTAGCTAGTTTAGCCTACTCAAACACCCTGCTCAAACAGATGGATGCTATGTTAGCTAGCTGGCTATGACTATCTAACACAACACTGGAACTCTTCCAAATCAAGGTAATCTTCTGGTTTTACTAATTTATTGCCACCAGGGGCCCGCTGGTGTAACTGCTTACTAACTGTACACTGTAACGTTACTGCATGATTGTAGCGGGTTTACTAACGCATTAGTTCTATTAGCTATGCTGACTATGACGTTACTTTAGCTAATATGGTGACAACGATGTAGGTAGTGGTTTGGCTTGGAAAGGTTTTTTCGCCTGGTCACATACAGCTGATGTGTTGTGCGTTGAAGTCCACAAGCGAAGGGAAGAGGTGAGAGGAGGAGAGCTCATGCGAGAAGGAATACAACGTGGATGCTGTGAAAGTGAACTGTGTTTACGCGTGATCAGGGGTGTATTCATTCCGCTGATTCTGTTGAAAAATGTTTCTTAAACAGAAGCAAGTGGAACAAAACAGGGATAAACATACCTGAATTTGTTCAATAGAAACTCTCGACTAATGATTACACCCTATATCAGCTAGATGCAGGCAAGAGTGTGCAAGAAGGTATTGAATGTATCACTGTCTGTACATGTGTCACTGTCTGTCACCTCTAATTTGTCTCTCGACCTGTGTGCACCTACATTGTAAACTTTCTTTCATAGGCTCAAACGCCCTCCCTCATCTTAAACGGCACTGACCGCCACACGATGTACACACATCAGAGGAGGCTGGTGGGAGGAGCTATAGGAGGACAGGCTCATTGTAATGGCTGGAATGGCATTAATGGAACGGAGTCCAACATGTAATTTCCAAATGTTTGATGTGTTTGATACTGTTCCATTAATTCCATTCCAGCCATTACAATGAGCCTGTCCTCCTATAGCTCCTCCCACCAGCCTCCTCTGACACATACACACACGACATGTTGTGAGAAATTGTGAGAGATGTTGTGTAGCATAATGCATTCTGTGGTTGTCTCTCTGTTCAAGTAAAATGAAGGGATATGTTTGTGTTGTTGGGACACGATAAAGCTAGGTGGAATTGGGTCTGTGACCACACCACAGGGGGATTAGGGTTTGCTGAGACAGCATCAAGCTGTGTGTGTGTGTGTGCGTGTGAAACTGTCCGATCGGTTAAAATGATGACTCAAAACAGAGTCTCTGTCTCGACTCCTCCGACTCTCTACCCCTATCCTCCTCTCCTGCGTACTATAGACGGCCTGACGTCATACAGCTCCCCTGAAGGTCAGCTGATGATGCCTCCTGGGTATCCCATTGCCAGCCTCAACGACTCCACATACGACGGCGCCCACGAACGAAGGTAGGCCTGATGCCTGCCTGCCTGCACACACACACACACACACACACACACACACACACACACACACACACACACACACACACACACACACACACACACACACACAATGAACCAGTCCCACTGTAGGCAACATCAGATATCAGAGACTTACATTTCCAGATGGAACAACAACCCAACACATACTCAATAGAATTCGACCTGAAATGCACTACAACTCTATCCTTTACCCTGTTTTGGTTTTGTTTCCCCTCAATATGTAAAGCGCTTTGAGCACTGGAAAAACACTATATGAATTAAATCAATTACTGTGCCTTCCTTCTCAAGGAAACTGTCTGGGGGGTTGGGTCAGCTGACGGACGGTGTGATTGGTCAGGATGACTTCCTGAGGACGCGGCAGTACCACGTGTGGCCTGGATACGACTATGTGGGCTGGAGGAACGGGAGTCTGGGCTCTGGCTATGTGGAGATGGAGTTTGTCTTTGACAAACAAAGGAACTTCACCTCCATGAAGGTACTAAAGAGCAGTGGGGGGGCAAGGAAAGAGATGGAATGGGACAGAAGGGGTTAAGGACAGCGAAGGAATGGGACAGAGAAGACATGGGACAGACGAGGTTAAGGACAGAGAAGACATGGGACAGACGAGGTTAAGGACAGAGAAGACATGGGACAGACAAGGTTAAGGACAGAGAAGGCATGGGACAGACGATGTTAAGGACAGAGAAGGCATGGGACAGACAAGGTTAAGGACAGAGAAGACATGGGACAGACGAGGTTAAGGACAGAGAAGACATGGGACAGACAAGGTTAAGGACAGAGAAGGTATGGGACAGACGATGTTAAGGACAGAGAAGGCATGGGACAGACGATGTTAAGGACAGAGAAGGCATGGGACAGACGATGTTAAGGACAGAGAAGGTATGGGACAGACAAGGTTAAGGACAGAGAAGGCATGGGACAGACGATGTTAAGGACAGAGAAGGTATGGGACAGACAAGGTTAAGGACAGAGAAGGCATGGGACAGACGATGTTAAGGACAGAGAAGGCATGGGACAGACGATGTTAAGGACAGAGAAGCGAGACAAGAGAGTAGGGGAAAGATAGAGGAAGGACAAAGGAGATGAAAATAATTGGATTTCATGTTCATATGATGTGGTGTTCCGGTCTGTGTAACCTACTGGCCTGCAACATTAAACGGGTAACTTTTGCCAAGTGTGACGATCGCATTCATTTCAGCTTGGCGTAACCGTGCCGACTCAGCGAGAGGTTTGTGCTGCTCAGCATAAATTATATTTTGGTTTCATTTTTAACATTTCGATGTGCAGCTCACGCCCGTGAACAATAGGATGAAGAGGCTCACGTTTTTCTCATGCTGGTCAAAAGTTACACTGCTAAACTAAAACCTACTGACTTCCTAGTGTAGCTTGTCTGTAACTCTGGTCCTCCCTGAACAGGTGCACAGTAACAATATGTTCTACCGCGGGGTGAAGATCTTCTCCTCCGTGTCGTGCTCTTTCAAGCCCCGCCTCATCGCTAACTGGGAGGTGGAGCCGGTGGAGTTCCACACGGTGCTGGACGACCGCAACCCCAGCGCTCGCTACGTGACCGTGCCTCTGGGACGCCGTAATGCCAAGGCCCTGCGCTGCCGTTTCCACTTCGCTGATGTGTGGATGATGTTCAGCGAGATCTCCTTCCAGTCAGGTAGGAGGGGAAGCAAAGAAATATCTCACATGGAACGGATCTACCGCTTAGTTACGGTTGACTTCCTTCCTTACTTCTCTTCATCCCCTGTGGGACGTTAGGATACAATGATTTCCTTCCAGCGCTCTCTGGCCTTGTACACATGTTGAGCCCCGCCAGGCACGTTTCACTGGCAAACACTTAAAGACCTGTGCAATATGTAGAAACCGCCACGCCATTTCCTGGTTTAAAAAAATATTCGATGTTTGCCTGATTTTAGTTTGTGACACGACAAGCACAAGCAATGTGCAGAGAATCATTGTACCATCTAAACCCCTGTGAAATATCAATGTACCATCTAAACCCCTGTGAAATATCAATGTACCATCTAAACCCCTGTGAAATATCAATGTACCATCTAAACCCCTGTGAAATATCAATGTACCATCTAAACCCCTGTGAAATATCAACGTACCATCTGAACTCCTGTGAAATATCAATTTACCATCTAAACCCCTGTGAAATATCAATGTACCATCTAAACCCCTGTGAAATATCAATGGACCATCTAAACCCCTGTGAAATATCAATGGACCATCTAAACCCCTGTGAAATATCAATGTACCATCTAAACCCCTGTGAAATATCAACGTACCATCTAAACTCCTGTGAAATATCAATTTACCATCTAAACCCCTGTGAAATATCAATGTACCATCTAAACCCCTGTGAAATATATATACTCTAATGTTCAGTGTCATATGTGAATACAGGTAACCACTTGAAGAGTTTTGTTCCAAAACGCTAACGTTATATATCCATTTTCTGAAATGTTTGTAAATTTGCTTTTATTGTTCAAAGAACTTATGAGAGAGATTGGTGTGTTGTTTCACTATATAATCATGACATGGGGTTGTTCAATGACAGACATGTACTGTATTTGTTTAAAATCTATCACTTTATGGTTTCATTTCAGATAATCATGTTTTTTTGCAAATGCAATATCTGCCTCACTCTTGGATAAATAAGTGAACTGCTAGGTTAACTACATTTGTTATAAAGAAATGTACAAATGATACATTTGTGACATCGATATTTAAATGTTTTAAATAAATAATTAAATACAGTAATATGAGATATTTGTCATTTAGCGGATGCTCTTATCCAGAGTGACTTACAGTTAGTGCATTAATCTTAAGAGACAACCACATATCACACTCAAATATACAGGATACGAAGATTCCAATCCAGCTACACATTTTATATACACTACAAGTCAAAGGTTTGGACACACCTACTCATTCATGGGATTTTCTTAATTTTTACTATTTTCTACATTGTAGAATAATAGTGAAGACATCAAAACTATGAAAAAATATATATGGAATCATGTAGTAACCAAAAAAGTGTTAAAAAAAATAAAAATAGATTTTATATTTGAGATTCTTCAAAGTAGCCACCCTTTGCCTTGATGACAGCTTTGCACACTCTTGGCATTCTCTCAACCAGCTTCATGAGGTAGTCACCTGGAATGCATTTAAATTAACAGGTGTGCCTTCTTAAAAGTTAATTTGTGGAATTTCTTCCTTCTTAATGCGTTTGAGCCAATCAGTTGTGTTGTGACAAGGTAGGGGGGGTATACAGAAGATAGGCCCTATTTGGTAAAAGACCAAGTCCATATTATGGCAAGAACAGCTCAAATAAGCAAAGAGAAACGACAGTCCATCATTACTTTAAGACATGAAGGTCAGTCAATACGGAACATTTCAAGAACTTTGAAAGTTTCTTCAAGTGCAGTCGCAAAAACCATCAAGCGCTATGATGAAACTGGCTCTCATGAGGACCACCACAGGAATGGAAGTCCCAGAGTCACCTCTGCTGCAGATGATACGTTCATTAGAGTTACCAGCCTCAGAAATTGCAGCCCAAATAAATGCTTCACAGAGTTCAAGTCACAGACACATCTCAACATCAATGTTCAGAGGGGACTGTGTGAATCAGGCCTTCATGGTCGAATTGCTGCAAAGAAACAACTACTAAAGGACACCAATAAGAAGAACAGACTTGCTTGGGCCAAGAAACATGAGCAATGGACATTAGACAGGTGGAAATGTGTCCTTTGGTCTGGAGTACAAATTGGAGATTTTTGGTTCCAACTTTGTGAGACGCGGTGTGGGTGAACGGATGATCTCCGCATGTATAGTTCCCACCGTAAAGCATGGAGGAGAAGGTGTTATGGTGTTGGGGTGCTTTGCTGGTGACACTGTCTGTGATTTATTTAAAATTCAAGGCACACTTAACCAGCATGGCTACCACAGCATTCTGCAACGATACGCCATCCCACCTGGTTTGGGCTTAGTGGGACTATCATTTGTTTTTCAACAGGACAATGAACCAACACACCTCCAGGCTGTGTAAGGGCTATTTTACCAAGAAGGAGAGTGATGGAGTGCTGCATCAGATGACCTGGCCTCCACAATCCCCCGACCTCAACCCAATTGAGATGGTTTGGGATGAGTTGGACCGCAGAGTAAAGGAAAAGCAGCCAACAAGTGCTCAGCATATGTGGGAACTCCTTCAAGACTGCTGGAAAAGCATTCCAGGTGAAGCTGGTTGAGAGAATACCAAGAGTGTGCAAAGCTGTCATCAAGGCAAAGGGTGGCTATTTGAAGAATCTCAAATATAAAATGTATTTTGATTTATTTAACTATTTCTTTGGTTACTACATGATTCCATATGTGTTATTTCATAGTTTTGATGTCTTCACTATTATTCTACAATGTAAAAAAAATAGTAAAAATAAAGAAAAACCCTTGAATGAGTAAGTGTGTCCAAACTTTTGACTGTACATAAAGCTTTTCACAAAGCAAACTTTCATTACCAGAATGATAATATTTACACCTATTTCCAACACATGCGCACAAACACACAGACACAAATCATTTTTAAAACCAGCAGGGTATAGCATTTTGCTCAAAAAAATACACATAAAGTCTATGAATAAAAAAATCTGAGAACAGTAATATTTTACACACACATGAAGGTACCCATAAGAAATCATTTCTGATGAAAAAACACAAATCTGAAACATTTATGTAAATAGCGTTTTGGAAATAAACTAAATTTTTTGTTTTGTCCCACAGCAGACACTGTGATTCCTACTCAGATAACCCCTGTGGTGACATCTCCCTGGCCCAAGGAGGAGAGCTCCCTGCCCACCACCCACAAGACTGGTAACCTTTCAACTCTCAGCTTCCCCTCTTCCAATCCTTACCATAACCATTAATGGGGAAAATTTAAAACTGAGCGAAAAAAACTGATCGAAAAAAAAAGGGTTCCAAAAGGGGTTTCCGGATGTCCCCATTGGAGAACACTTTTTGGTTCCAGGTAGAACCCGTTTTGGTTCCAGGTAGAACCCGTTTTGGGTTCCATGTTGAACCCTCTGGGAAGGGTTTATACATGGAACCCAATAGGGTTCTACCTGAAACCAAAAAGGGTTCTTAAAAGGGTTCTACTATGGGGACAGCCGAAGAACCCTTTTAGGTTCTAGATAGTTTAGGTGTTTTCTAAAAATGTAACCCAACACTTCCCTTTTCCTATGTAGCACCTCTGAATATTTCAACACTTTGTTTCATTTCAGTCGTTTAATTGTAGCTAAAAAAGTGTCAAATAAGCTGAAGGAAATGGAATGGATCCATCTAACCTGCTTCTACTGTATACAGTATAGTTTCCACTATGGAAATAACTCAGTGACTTGATTGTGTTATGTCCTTGATCGTTTTTTAAATGTATATATTACTGGCTGTAGGTCGATGTATTTTTTTCTTCAAATAAAGTAAATCAATCAACTCCTTAACTCCTCCCCCTCAGCGACCAACCCATCAGCCAAGGACCAACCGGATGACGGGAACACCCCTATTCTGATTGGCTGTCTGGTGACGATCATCCTGTTGCTCGTAGTGATCATCTTCCTGATCTTGTGGTGCCAGTATGTGTGCAAGGTGCTGGAGAAGGTAGGACAGACTATATTCTGGATACCCACATTGGTCATAACCCCCTTGACTAGCAGGTTGAACTGAGAAGGCAGCATGGGATGTGAAAGAAGTGAAGAGGAAATTCAGTAACTTTTCAGCAACAAACCTGATGAAGGCTAAGGGCCTGGAAAGTATTATTTTTTTTGGGGGGGGGAAATCTAAATAGAATAAAGAATCTGTCCGTTTTTTGCATGGCCTGTGTCTTAATCCACCGCATCCTTCGATGTTGGCCTTCCACACCGCGTCTCACAAAGACACGGCGGTTGGAACCAAAAATCTCAAATTTGGACTCCAGACCAAAGGACAAATTTCCACCGGTCTAATGTCCATTGCTCGTGTTTCTTGGCCCAAGCAGGTCTCTTCTTCTTATTGGTGTCCTTTAGTAGTGGTTTCTTTGCAGCAATTTGACCATGAAGGCCTGATTCACACAGTCCCCTCTGAACAGTTGATGTTGAGATGTGTCTGTGACTAGAACTCTGTGAAGCATTTATTTGGGCTGCAATTTCTGAGGCTGGTAACTCTAATGAACTTATCCTCTGCAGCAGAGGTAACTCTGAGTCTTCCATTCCTGTGGCAGTCCTCATGAGAGCCAGTTTCATCATATCACTTGATGGTTGTTGCGACTGCACTTGAAGTAAAGTTCTTGAAATGTTCCATATTGACTGACCTTCATGTCTTAAAGTAATGATGGACTGTCATTTCTCTTTGCTTATTTGAGCTGTTCTTGCCATAATATGGACTTGGTCTTTCACCAAATAGGGCTATCTTCTGTATACCCCCCTACCCTGTCACAACACAACAGATTGACTCAAACGCATTAAGAAGGAAATAAATTCCACAAATTAACTTTTAAGAAGGCACACCTGTTAATTGAAATGCATTTCAGGTGACTACCCCATGAAGCTGGTTGAGAGAATGCCAAGAGTGTGCAAAGCTGTCATCAAGGCAAAGGGTTGCTACTTTGAAGAATCTCAAATATAAAATCTATTTTGATTTGTTTAACACTTTTTTGGTTACTACATGATTCCATATGTGTTATTTCATAGTTTTGAAAATAGTACAAATAAAGAAAAACCCTTGAATGAGTAGGTGTGTCCAAACATTTGACTGGTACTATATATATAATTTATTGATCTTTCTTATATCTATCAGATATTGGACAGACACTTCAAAACAAACTTCCTTTTGATATATTTCTGGACTATCTGTTTTACCATGTATGAATTTCATTCAATGCATATCTATGCGTATCTAAGGCGAAATTCAATGTTTTATTAAATCATTGTTGTATATATATTTTTTATACTTACAGGGGTCCTAACATTCCACATCAAATAGCTAAATGATACTTTTTTATGACCATCTTAAAACAATTCCATATGTTAGCTCAGTAGAAATCCAACCCCCCGGGGCCCTTACACCTTAGTGCATTTAAGGGTTTTATAAACCAAATTCCACAGCCCTCCAAGAGATGCTGAGTTTCCTCCTCACTTCAATTTGCTCCTTAATTTATGCGCCTTGAAGAGGGAGGTAGCGGTAATGTTCCCTTCCCTAAAGACCCTGATCCCTGCCTGCCTCCCTCCCCAGGCTCCACGCCGTATCCTCGAGGAGGAGGTCACCGTGCGCCTGTCCTCCAGTAGTGACACCATTATTCTGCAGACCCCTCCCGTGCCCCCCCGGGTCTCTCAGATGGACCACCCGTACGAGCGCGTCTTCCTCCTGGACCCTCAGTACCAAGACCCAGCCGGCCTCAGGAACAAGCTGCCTGAACTGTCTCAGAGTGCAGAGACCTCAGGTAAACGCCTCTCCTTTTCTCTCTTCCTCTCCTTTCTCCTCCCCCCTTCCTCTTTCTTTCAATCAAAGGATCCGTGTTACTTCTTAGTCCTTATAGTTTGCATGGTGCTGTGACTGTTACTTGCTTCTCCTGCCTTACAAATCAAACTTGTTGATCATGCCGGCTGCTACTCTTGATTCTCAATATTCTCTGGAATGTTGTATGCTATGCATGCTGATCTGTTGCTCAGTTCTCTCTCTTCTTTACCTTCCAGTCCTCCTCCCTCTCCCTCTACCGTCTAGCCCTATGCCTCAGAAAATCCTGTCTATGACCTCTTCCTGACCTCTCGTCACGACCGAAGGCCCCTCTCGTGGTAAGAGGTGAAAGGTGTGCCAATATGAAGAGCCGGAATGGCCGCCCGAGGATGAGTGGAAATGTTGACTGTGTTATTTACATAATGCCAGTGTCTCTTTGTATTTCCGTTTTACTATCAGGACTATAACATCAGAACGATATAGAATAGTATAGTGGTGGGGAGGGGGAATGTCCACCTTGTCAGGATTTGAGTCTATAGTCCCTTCTGCGTTCCTGTCTGGGACTGCCAGGGTCTGTTACTGTCTGGGACTGCCAGGGTCTGTTACTGACTGCCAGGGTTTGTTACTGTCTGGGACTGCCAGGGTCTGTTACTGTGTGGGACTGCCAGGGTCTGTTACTGACTGGGACTGCCAGGGTCTGTTACTGTCTGGGACGCCAGGGTCTGTACTGTCTGGGACTGCCAGGTCTGTTAACTGTTGGGACTGCAGGGTCTGTACTGACTGGGACTGCCAGGGTCTGTTACTGTCTGGGACTGCAGGGTTGTACTGTCTGGGACTGCCAGGTCTGTTACTGTCTGGGACTGCCAGGGTCTGTTACTGACTGCCAGGTTTGTTACTGTCGTGGGACTGCCAGGGTCTGTCTGTCTGGACGGCCAGGGTTTGTTACGACTGGGACTGCCAGGGTCTGTTACTGTCGGGACTGCCAGGGTCTGTTACTGACTGGGACTGCCAGGGTCTGTTACTGACTGGGACTGCCAGGGTCTGTTACTGTCTGGACTGCCAGGGCTGTTACTGTCTGGGACTGCCAGGGTCTGTTACTGTCTGGGACTGCCAGGGTCTGTTACTGACTGGGACTGCCAGGGTCTGTTACTGACTGGGACTGCCAGGGTCTGTTACTGTCTGGGACTGCCAGGGTCTGTTACTGACTGCCAGGGTTTGTTACTGTCTGGGACTGCCAGGGTCTGTTACTGTCTGGGACTGCCAGGGTTTGTTACTGACTGGGACTGCCAGGGTCTGTTACTGTCTGGGACTGCCAGGGTCTGTTACTGACTGGGACTGCCAGGGTCTGTTACTGACTGGGACTGCCAGGGTCTGTTACTGTCTAGGACTGCCAGGGTCTGTTACTGTCTGGGACTGCCAGGGTCTGTTACTGTCTGGGACTGCCAGGGTCTGTTACTGACTGGGACTGCCAGGGTCTGTTACTGACTGGGACTGCCAGGGTCTGTTACTGACTGGGACTGCCAGGGTTTGTTACTGACTGCCAGGGTTTGTTACTGTCTGGGACTGTTCTCATTTCATCCTTAGCTTTATGATTCTGGGACCGTGTTCAAAACGTAGAGTAGGACTGCTGCTCTAGGATCAGTTTAGCCTTTTAGATCATAATGAATGATAATAAGATTACTTGGACAAGGGGGACCTGATCCTAGATCCTAGATCAGCACTCCTGCTCTGAGATGCTTTATGAATACAGGACCTGGTTATCAAACAGTCAGGAGCTTAGCCCAAACTTTCACTCTCTCTTTGTCTTTCCCCGTCTCTCCCCTCCTCCCCTCCTCCCCCTCTCTCCTCCTCCCCCTCTCTCCTCCTCCTCCTCCCCCTCTCTCCTCCTCCCACTCTCTCCTCCTTCTCTTCAAATCCTCCTCGTTCCCTCTTCCGCCCTAACATTCTCCTTCCTCCTCCTCATCCTCCCTAACATTCTCCTTCCTCCTCCTCATCCTCCCTAACATTCTCCTTCCTCCTCCTCATCCTCCCTAACATTCTCCTTCCTCCTCCTCATCCTCCCTAACATTCTCCTTCCTCCTCCTCATCCTCCCTACCTTCCTTCCTCACATTCTCCTCCTCCCCCTCTCTCCTCCTCCTCCTCTTCCTCCCTAACATTCTCCTTCCTCCTCCTCCCGCTCTTCCTCATCCTCCTCCTCCTCAGCGTGTGGTGGGGGCTATGCGGAGCCCGATGTCACCCAGTGCACGCCTCATCAGTGCTTCCAGAGCAGCGTGCCGCACTACGCCGAGACAGACATCGTGAGCCTGCAGGGTGTGACGGGCAGTAACATGTATGCCGTGCCAGCGCTCACCGTCGACTCGCTCACCCGCAAGGACATCTCCGTGGCAGAGTTTCCCCGCCACCGGCTGCTCTTCAGGGAGAAGCTGGGGGAGGGACAGTTTGGAGAGGTGAGGACCTTCGTACTGTATAAGTTCTTGTTGACATACACACAGACAACTGCAGATTAGTAAAGTATTTTTGGAGTCCCTAATCTAAAGTGAGCGCTATCTATACTTTTTAAAGAGTTTATAAATGTTTTGAGTGACCAGTGTAATGTCTCACAAAAAGATGGGCATGCCATTGGTAGACATTCCTGCAGTACCTGGTAAAATAACAAGCTTACAACACAGGATGTTTAATGAACTATATGCATGTGTGAATAACTAGCTTACTAACATTTACAAATGTGGGAGTAATGATTAATAAATGATGAGCAAACTGTTTGCAAATGATTATAAATGGTTTATTATGGACCCTGTGCAGGTCCACCTGTGTGAGGCTGAGGGTCTGCCTGAGTTTCTGGGGGAGGGCGCCCCCCTTCCCGACCGGGATGGACGGCCTGTACTGGTGGCAGTGAAGCAACTGAGGGCGGACGCCACGAACAACGCCAGGTGTGTGTGTGTGTGTTTGTTTTGTGTTCACCAGGTGTGTGTGTGTGTTTGTTTTGTGTTCACCAGGTGTGTGTGTGTTTGTTACTGTGCATATTGAAAGTCTTATAGAGCAAAGATGACAGAATTGTTTGATCACAGTCATTTCTGCTCTCACAAGAACATGTGAATATTCCTACTTACAGTACACTATGTGTATGCAGAGCTACGTTCTTCCTACTTACTGTACACTGTGGGTATGCAGAGCTACGTTCTTCCTACTTACTGTACACTGTGGGTATGCAGAGCTACGTTCTTCCTACTTACAGTACACTGTGGGTATGCAGAGCTACGTTCTTCCTACTTACTGTACACTGTGGGTATGCAGAGCTACGTTCTTCCTACTTACTGTACACTGTGGGTATGCAGAGCTACGTTCTTCCTACTTACAGTACACTATGTGTATGCAGAGCTACGTTCTTCCTACTTACTGTACACTGTGGGTATGCAGAGCTACGTTCTTCCTACTTACAGTACACTGTGGGTATGCAGAGCTACGTTCTTCCTACTTACTGTACACTGTGGGTATGCAGAGCTACGTTCATCCTACTTACTGTACACTGTGGGTATGCAGAGCTACGTTCTTCCTACTTACAGTACACTATGTGTATGCAGAGCTACGTTATTCCTACTTACTGTACACTGTGGGTATGCAGAGCTACGTTCTTCCTACTTACTGTACACTGTGGGTATGCAGAGCTACGTTCTTCCTACTTACAGTACACTGTGGGTATGCAGAGCTACGTTCTTCCTACTTACTATACACTGTGGGTATGCAGAGCTACGTTCTTCCTACTTACTGTACACTGTGGGTATGCAGAGCTACGTTCTTCCTACTTACAGTACACTATGTGTATGCAGAGCTATGTTCTTCCTACTTACAGTACACTATGTGTATGCAGAGCTACGTTCTTCCTACTTACAGTACACTATGTGTATGCAGAGCTACGTTCTTCCTACTTACTGTACACTGTGGGTATGCAGAGCTACGTTCTTCCTACTTACTGTACACTGTGGGTATGCAGAGCTACGTTCTTCCTACTTACAGTACACTGTGGGTATGCAGAGCTACGTTCTTCCTACCTACTGTACACTGTGGGTATGCAGAGCTATGTTCTTCCTACTTACAGTACACTGTGTGTATGCAGAGCTACGTTCTTCCTACTTACTGTACACTGTGGGTATGCAGAGCTACGTTCTTCCTACTTACTGTACACTGTGGGTATGCAGAGCTACGTTCTTCCTACTTACTGTACACTGTGGGTATGCAGAGCTACGTTCTTCCTACTTACAGTACACTGTGGGTATGCAGAGCTACGTTCTTCCTACTTACTGTACACTGTGGGTATGCAGAGCTACGTTCTTCCTACTTACTGTACACTGTGGGTATGCAGAGCTACGTTCTTCCTACTTACTGTACACTGTGGGTATGCAGAGCTACGTTCTTCCTACTTACAGTACACTGTGTGTATGCAGAGCTATGTTCTGACCTGTGGTATTCTAACCCCCTCCCCAACACACAGGTACGACTTCTTGAAGGAGATCAAGATCATGTCGAGGCTCAACGACCCCAACATCATCCAGTTGCTGTGTGTGTGTGTGAGCTCGGACCCCCTGTGCATGGTGACTGAGTACATGGACAACGGAGACCTCAACATGTTCCTGTCCCAGAGAGAGATGGAGAGCACTCTGACCCATGCCAACAACATCCCCTCGGTCAGGTGAGACCATCCCCCTCTCACCACGCCCACTCCTTGGTCTCCTCCCCTCTCGCCATGCCCACTCCTCGGTCTCCTCCCCTCTCACCGCGCCCACTCCTCGGTCTCCTCCCCTCGCCATGCCCACTCCTCGGTCTCCTCCCCTCTCGCCACGCCCGCTCCTCAGTCTCCTACCCTCACCACACCCACTCCTCGGTCTCTTCCCCTCTCACCACACCCACTCCTCGGTCTCCTCCCCTCTCATCACACCAACTCCTGGGTCTCCTCCCCTCTCACCACACCCACTCCTCGGTCTCCTCCCCTCTCACCATGCTCCTCCTCAGTCTCCTCCCCTCTCACCACACCAACTCCTGGGTCTCTTCCCCTCTCACCACGCTCTTCCTCGGTCTCCTCCCCTTTCACCACGCTCCTCCTCGGTCTCCTCCCCTCTCACCACGCTCATCCTTGGTCTCCTCCCCTCTCACCACGCCCACTCCTCAGTCTCCTCCCCTCTCACCACACCCGCTCCTCTGTCTCCTCCCCTCACCACACCCACTCCTCGGTCTCCTCTCCTCTAACCACACCCACTCCTCGGTCTCCTCCCCTCTCACCACACCCACTCCTCTGTCTCCTCCCTTCTCATCACACCAAGTCCTGGGTCTCCTCCCCTCTCACCACACCCACTCCTCGGTCTCCTCCCCTCTCATCACACCAACTTCTGGGTCTCCTCCCCTCTCACCACACCCACTCCTCGGTCTCCTCACCACGCTCCTCCTCGGTCTCCTCCCCTCTCACCACGCCCACTCCTCGGTCTCCTCCCCTCTCACCACACCCGCTCCTCGGTCTCCTCCCCTCACCACACCCACTCCTCGATCTCCTTCCCTCTCACCACATTCCTCCTCTGTCTCCTCCCCTCTCACCACGCTCTTCCTCGGTCTCCTCTCCTCTCACCACACCCACTCCTCGGTCTCCTCCCCTCTCACCACACCCACTCCTCGGTCTCCTCTCCTCTCACCACACCCACTCCTCGGTCTCCTCCCCTCTCACCACACCCACTCCTCGATCTCCTTCCCTCTCACCACATTCCTCCTCTGTCTCCTCCCCTCTCACCACGCTCTTCCTCGGTCTCCTCCCCTCTCACCACGCTCCTCCTCGGTTTCCTCCCCTCTCACCACGCTCCTCCTGGCTTGGGAGGTCCAGATTTGAATTGGCCTGAATTAACCAATTCTCTCACCCATAGAAATCAAGGTAAATGACTCAATGATTCTATTACTACAGTATGCCCTCACCCACCCACACCCTCACTTCCTCCAACACCATTGTTGTACATTGATGTCTTCCTAAGCTAACACATTGGTTCTCTCTCTCTCTCTTCGCTATCTTTCTCTCTCTCTTTGCTATCTCTCCTCTCGCTCTCTTCGCTATTCTCTCTCGATCTCTGCATCTCTCTCATTCTGCTATCTCTCTTCTCTCTCTCTTCGCATATTCTTCTATCTCTCTTATCTCGCTATCTCTGCTCTCCTATCTCTTCCTCTCTCTCCTCCCTGCTATCTCTCTCCATCTCTCTTTTCGCTATCTCTCCTCTCTTGCTCTCTCTCTCTCTTCGCTATCTCTCCACTCTCTCTTTGCTATCTCTCCTCTCCCCCTCCCTCTCTCTCTTCTCTCTCTTCGCTATCTCTCCTCTCTCTCTCTCTTCGCTATCTCTCCTCTCTCTTCGCTATCTCTCCTCTCTCTCTCTCTTCGCTATCGCTCCTCTCTCTGCTATCTCTCTCCATCTCTCTCTTCGCTATCTCTCTCTCTCTCTCTCTTCGCTATCTCTCCTCTCTCCTCTCTCTCTTTGCTATCTTTCCTCTCTCCCTCTTTCTCTCCCCTCCCTCTCTCTCCCCTCTCTCTCTCTCTCTGTCGCTTCGCTATCTCTCCTCTCTCTCTCTCTTTACTATCTCCCCTCTCTCTCTCTCTCCCCCTCTCTCTCTCTCTCTGTCGCTTCGCTATCTCTCCTCTCTCTCTCGCTCTCCTCTCTCTCTCTCTCTCTGTAGTTTGTCAGACCTCCTGCACATGTCAGTACAGATCTCGTCCGGCATGCGCTACCTGGCCTCTCTGAACTTTGTGCACCGAGACTTGGCCACACGTAACTGCCTGCTGGACCGCAGACTCACCATCAAGATAGCAGACTTCGGCATGAGCAGGAACCTGTACAGTAGTGACTACTACCGCATCCAGGGGCGAGCCGTGCTGCCCATCCGCTGGATGGCCTGGGAGAGCATTCTACTGGTGAGAAAGGATAATACTTTAGGGTCATTCCACAAAATGAGTCCCTTTTGGGTAGTTAACGTGGTGAAAAAAATTCACAAAATGTTAACATTCTGTCATGACAAGCACATGTTCAACCTAATAAAAACATGTTTTCCATCTCAAGAGGTTAAATAAAAAAAATGACTATAGTAAGTGCCAAATATGCTTATTAATTGCCAAATAAAGTAAGAGAGTTGACCGTCACAGGGGGTTGACCGTAAGAGAGTTGACCGTCACAGGGGGTTGACCGTAAGAGAGTTGACCGTCACAGGGCCATAAATCCCCTTGTGACAGGGGGAATGGAAGCGTGTTGTGTGCAACAGGGGAGGGGCAATTGAATGCAAGCTTTACAAAAAAAATGTAAGACCCTGGCGGACTGCCAGTAAAATAACATTTCTAGCCTGTCTATCTATGGGGAACAGGTTTGACGTATTATGCTTGACCCTCTCAGTTTGGCCAAAAAGAGTAGAACCAGCTCACCTGCTTTTATAGTATAATTTGACTATTAGATGTTCGATGTTTCTATTTAAAAAAATATTTAAAAAGGAATAGTTTCACCTTATTAAAAAAGATAGTTCAGTTCACGTTACAGGGTTGACTTTAAAATGAGGGACATGTTTGTTTTTTTTACATACAAATTAATCTTTAGAAATGAATCATCTTAACAAAATAATAGGGCTTTACTATGATGGTGTTGCTCTGAACCAGAGCATGTGAGCTGGGTTGAGCCGTTGGACCGCTCCAGCGCTCCACGTCCTTTCCAACTGCTCTGCTAAAAACCGCTCCATGCTCACAAGAAAAAGAAACTGCCGCTCCAAATTCGCTCCATTCATTAAAATCACAATTTAACCAACACCGATCTATTTTTGTGACTACCTGGACCTACCATTTTTGTTTTGAAGTGTTGAAATGAATGGTATTGAATGGTATGGAATGAAAAGTATTTGAATAAACATGATAAGGTGACTGTAAGAAGCGCACATCATTTCAAATAGGCTACATGTCATATTAAACAGCATATAAACACTCTAAATAGGCCAGGAGCCAGACAGGGAGCCTAAGAAGGAACGAAAATGAATTATTTAGGCTACATTATTTCAAGGCTATAGCCTACAAAGAAATACATTGTGAAGCATTAGCGAGTGTGACGCAATAGACTGGTAGGGACATTAAGCGCTAAGCATTTAAACATTTTCGTTGTATTAAATCATTATGGTCTATAAATTGTGCATATAGGCTGTGACTTACTTAGAATTAAATACAAATGTAAAACGAAAAAATGACTTATTAGTGCCTTTTTGAATTCATTTTTAGAATTCCTTTTTAGAAACACGCGTTTGGCCAGTCTGTGGCTTCAGGCTCATGCGATGGTGCCTGAAGAGCCGGCCAGCGGCGGATAATATCCTCTCCACCCCTGAAGAGCCGGCCAGCGGCGGATAATATCCTCTCCACACTTGCAGAGCCACTGGGGATGCTAAACACCCTTTTGGACACTCTTGCCAGGGTAGACCTAAAGTCTCGTCCAAAACAACACAGTCTGGTTCCAGTCTACACAAAACAACACAGTCTGGTTCCAGTCTACACAAAACAACACAGTCTCGTCCAAAACGGAGATTTGCGAGATGATAGGAAAAAATTGTGTCACGTAATGAAGGGTACCCTAACAGTTTTCCTTGGGTTGGGTTTATTTCAATCCTGCCCACAGCTGGCAGCACCCAAGTAATCATCAATTCGGAGCACAGCTGCACATGACCTGATGGTAATGCCTATGGTAAATTTGGTTTGACATTGGATATCCCTATGGTGCTAGTGAGGTACCATCAGTAAATTACACAATGTACATGGGACAATATTAAGAAATGTCAATAGCTTCTAATTTCTATGATCTCAAACCGACAACAAATTGTAGAAATTAATTTACAAATATTGAAAGCATTTAATAACACAACTAAAAGATGTACAACATGAAAATGGGGTCCCATTTACATTGTGTAATTTATTGACAGTCCCTAACTAGCCCCAGAGATAGACTATCCAAAGTCAAACCAACTTTGCCATGGGTCGCACACCAGCCAGGCTGAAGCTAATTGGTGAAAGAAGTTTTGGCAGAGTGAATGTAGAAACATTTGCCACGTGCGAACACACACACACACACACAAGAGACACCCACATTAAACCAACCCACAAGACAACTCTTGTTTGGCTTCAGTCATGGCCGCTGCATTTCTTAATGACCAAGCCGAAAAACGATGCCAAATCAGAAAGTTCAGCCCCCTTTTTCTGATACTTTTTCTGGAAGATGTTTTCTAAGACCCCCTTTCCATCTGTTTGATGAAAAATCAAAGCCTTTGCTTATTCCCAATTTTTAGGATAGAAAATGATTGAAAAATGTGCTGTGTATATATGGCTTAATTTCACATTGAAACAGTGGTGTTGAGTGGATGAGAGATAGAGATTATGTAAATGTGAATATAAATGTGTTTCCTGAAAAGCTCATTCAGAACTCTTATGGAAGCTATAGGCAACCATTTTGAGTAGTTAAGTCAACCTTTATTTGGCTACATCTGGGTCCTATGCATTAGTGCACACCATAGCAAAACACTTATGAAAACCTGTCCCCCAACCCTGTTTGTCTATTGTCTTCAGTTTGGTGCCTAATCAATACCACTCAGATAGATCCCGTGGGTGTTGGTGTGAGGTTTAGGGTGAAGTTGTCCCTTGACGCTGATCTTGGGGTCAGTTTTTGCATTTTCCGCACTAATAGCTACGGTCAGGATTGGGGGAGGAAAAGCTGATCCTAGATCTGTACCTAAGGGAAACTTCACCATCTGTGTGGTTCCTCTCCAGGGAAAGTTCACCACGGCCAGTGATGTGTGGGCCTTTGGCGTCACCCTGTGGGAGATCTTCACTCTGTGTAAAGAGCAGCCCTACAGCCTACTGTCAGACGAACAGGTCATCGAAAACACTGGCGAGTTCTTCCGAAACCAGGGCAGACAGGTAAGTGATTTAATTGATTTAATTTATCCATTCATTCATTTATACATGGGGGGGACAAAAACATTGAAAACGTCAAGTGTTTAGTTATGAGAACAATACATTGGGAATTAAAAGAGCTTAAGCCCTTCTTAAATGGAGAGATTGTTATTGGGTACACTCTTAGAAAAAAGGGTTATTCGGCTGTCCCCATAAGAGAACCGTTTTTGGTTACGGAAAGGTTCTACCTGGAAGGGTTTCCTATGGGGACAGCCAAATAACTATTTTAGGTTTTAGATATAAACTTTTTTTCTAAGAGTGTAGAGAGAAGAGGGCGGCAGGTAGCTTAGCGGTTAAGAGCGTAGTGCCAGTAACCGAAAGGTCGCTGGTTCTAATCCCCGAGCCGACTAGGAGAAAAATCTGTCTGTGCCCTTGAGCAAGGCACTTAACCCTAATTGCTCCTGTAAGTCGCTCTGGATAAGAGCATCTGCTAAATGACTAAAAATGTAAATGTAAAAAAAAAAAGAGGGGTATCCAGGTACTGGATTCATCAATGCATAGGATAAAACATGTAATTAGGTGGAGTAGCTTAGCTTTGTCTCACATTCAACGATATGTAATTATTTTCCATATGGGTCAAATATTATTTTAGTCTTGTGCTCAAATTGTGTCATCCTGCATGCATAGTAAACTCCATTATATATCTGGACCTAACAGTAATGTTTTGGCACCCCATTTCCCCATCCACCCCATTTCCCCAATTTTCTTCTAGATCTTCCTCTTCGCCCCACCGCTCTGTCCTCCCTCTCTATTTGAGCTGATGATGCGTTGTTGGGACCGCGACATCGCCGATCGACCCACCTTCGAGGGGTTGTACCAGGCCTTACGACCACACGTGGTCCAGTGAACTTTGAACCCTGGCAGTCCTGAGTGAGGGGTCCATTTAGCCTGAATTCTCTTCTCTTAATCCCTCTGACTGATAGACAGAAGGACAGACAGACATTTTTTTTTTTTTACATTTTAGTCATTTAGCAGATGCTCTTATCCAGAGCGACTTACAGATAGTGAGTGCATACTTTTTTCATACTGGCCCCCCGTGGGAATTGAACCCACAACCCTGGCTTGCAAACGCCATGCTCTACCAACTGAGCTACATGGGACTAGACAGACAGACATAGACAGACAGACAACGAGGAGGACTGGAAGAGGATGCAGCGATGTCATTTTGAGAGAGCAGGAAAGTGGGTTGAGGTTATCACCTCGACAATGTGGACGACTTCTTTCACTTTCTTCAGTGATGGATCTTATCATTTTAAATCCATGAAAAGCTCTCACCCTTTTGTCTGTTTGTGGTTTGTGTAAATTGAATTCTGTTCAGACATCTTTATACAGTATGTTGTGTTTTCATTTTGTTTTAGTAAAGAAAACATTTTCCCTAAAACTAGGCCTAGTAAGAAATCAACAACTGGACTAATGCTTTTGTCTTCAGACCCTGTGGTTTTTTCATGTAAAGCACTGCTGCCTGGTTGTCTTCCATGTATCCATGATATGTTCCTTTTATTATCCCCACACTGGAGTTAGGACTTTGATATTTTTGATTTGTTTGACTCAGATTTTATTGTCCTTTTTGAATATGAATGTTATACAGGTCAGTTTGGATAAGGCCTATGGCTAAAGCAGAACTACTGTCATAGCTAGAATAGGACCCTAACCCTCTGACCCTAACCCTAACCCTGCTTTAGAGAGGGTTGGGGAGCCACAACGGACTGATGATGAGCAATAGAAAGCACTGTCCCCATGGAGATGCCTACCGCAAGGCACTGTCCCCATGGAGATGCCTACCGCAAGGCACTGTCCCCATGGAGATGCCTACCGCAAGGCACTGTCCCCATGGAGATGCCTACCGCAAGGCACTGTCCCCATGGAGATGCCTACCGCAAGGCACTGTCCCCCATGGAGATGCCTACCGCAAGGCACTGTCCCCATGGAGATGCCTACCGCAAGGCACTGTCCCCATGGAGATGCCTACCGCAAGGCACTGTCCCCCTGGAGATGCCTACCGCAAGGCACTGTCCCCCTGGAGATGCCTACCGCAAGGCACTGTCCCCCTGGAGATACCTACCGCAAGCTGTGCAGCCTTATCAGATAGCATTAAAGCTAATTAGCATTAATGAGATACCATTAGCTATCCCCTACAGAGATTCAGTCATCTGCGTTGTGAAGCTGGAGGCTGGTTAGCTCTGGTCCAGGGCGTTTGTGCGCATTCCAGTGGAGGAACACGCACTAACGGTGACGTGGACCAGAGCTAGAAGCTGGACAACACTCTTTGCGAGTATACAGTAGCTAGCATGTTGTTGTGGCCAAGCCTCTGACCAAACAGCTGTTGTGTCCACAGCTCCACCTTCAGATGAATTGAGCCATAGCAATAGAATTACTGCTGTATTTCCTGGCCACCGCTCCACCCATTATGGCCTCATTGCTTTGAATGGGTACGCCCGTTCTAGTAAATCTATTTCTATGATTGTAGCTGAGAATTAATGTGAGTTGAAGCTTGCTCACTGGCCAGGGATTGAAATGAAGGCTGAATTTAATTGTGGTTGTAAATATAATTGAAAGGGATCTCTGTGTAGATGACACATGTCCATGGGGAGATCAATCAATGTTGTCATGTTAGTGTAAAAGTTTTTAAAGTACATTTTCCTTTTTTTGTTATTTCAAAACGTTAAGCCCCCCCCTATTTTAAGTATATGTTTTTTGTTGTTGTCATTGTTGATGTTATTAACATTGATATTAATGTGTTGTGTTGTTCACCTGTACTGTATCTGATGCTTCAAAGTGTGTCTGTGTGTCTGCTGGGAGGAGGGGCTCTCTGCTTGGAGGAGGGGCTCTCTGCTGGGAGGTGGGGCTCTCTGGATGTGTTATGTGTATGTTTGACATTCCATAGAGCACTGGGGGAAGTGGTTCAACTTGGAGTGTGTTTAGATGCCCTGTTGTTGTGCAATACAATCTGCAACGCATGGAGAGGGGAGGGAGGAAGGGATGAAGGGGGAGAGAGGGTGGGGAGGGGGATGTCAGGAAACCACTAAACTCAATCTCCCAGAGGTCTTTGCTGAAGTGAGCCAGTGTTAGCTAATGTTCATTGTTAGAGATGAATCCCTTAATGCCGGTCCAGACAGAGCAAGTCATGTTTTTGTTTTCCAACATGGCCACCATGGTTGGGATTGGATAGAAGAAAGCTGATTATTGACCAGAGCTTTATAACAGTTCCCTCTCTGGAGTGGCTTTCTCAGCTTTTTGGATGACATGGAAGCACAACTGTGGTAAAGGGGTAAAAGGAGTGCTTTGTTCGAGCGTGCGTGTGGCGGCGGTCTGCTAGAGTTCGTCTGTGCAACGTGTTCGCATGAGAGTGAAATAACCAAGTGTTAGTGTTTGAATGCGTAACGGGTGGTAATGATTGGTTGGTTTGGTGTCAGGTGATAGAGGACACTCCTTGATTTTCTCTTTTACTATTCATCACTTCCAGTTTATAAACTCTTCTCATACGTATGTGGCTGACTTGTACATAGTGTAGTCAGAGTAGATTTGTATAGTAATATATTGGGAGCTGAGGAGAAGATTCCAGCCCCATGATAGTTTTCCTCTTATCTTTTGCTTCTCTTTGTTTATCTTATTAAAATCAAACTTGACAAACAGTATCGAGCATTTTTTAAAAATTAAAAACAACAAATATTTGTTTTAAGTGAGAAGTAGAAAAATAAATGATGCCTACTCCACCCATGCTCTACCAAGGTTTTACAGCACACAGATTTGACCGGAGGATGCGAGCGGAGCTGGAGTGGAGGGAGGAGCGGAGCTGGAGTGTAGGGAGGAGCGGAGTGGAACTGGAGTGGAGGGAGGAGCGGAGCTGGAGTGTAGGGAGGAGCGGAGTGGAACTGGAGTGGAGGGAGGAGCGGAGCTGGAGTGGAGGGAGGAGCGGAGGGAGGAGCGGAGCTGGAGTGGAGGGAGGAGCGGAGTGGAGCTGGAGTGGAGGGAGGAGCGGAGCTGGAGTGGAGGGAGGAGCGGAGCTGGAGTGGAGGGAGGAGCGGAGCTGGAGTGGAGGGAGGAGCGGAGCTGGAGTGGAGGGAGGAGCGGAGCGGAGCGTAAATGCCAGCGGATGTAAAAATCAATTGGGAGTGTCCGCTTTCTCTCCCACTCAGCCACGAGCTCTGGTCATGCTCTGCCCAGCATTTTTCATTTCCTTCATCACTGTGCTTTTAATTAGACCTATTCTGTTGTATTTATTTAGCCTACACCACCACTAATGTGCAGAGATGTTAAAATGAGTCGACCAAGAAATAGGTTACAGCCTGTGTAATATGATGGCAAGACAACCAATGAGCCCATGCAGCAGCAACGGAGAAGTTTTAGGTTCCAAATAGGCTGTTTAAAAAAAAAAGAGGAGTGCTAAAGTTGTCAATCAACTGTAAGATGTGAGCGTAACAGAGGCACAGTTACAATTAAAGCATCGGATCATCAATAGATTAGAGAAAAAAACAGTTTGTTTTTTAACACAGTGGCTACATAACCAATCACCTACAGTGAGGGAAAAAAGTATTTGATCCCCTGCTGATTTTGTGCGTTTGCCCACTGACAAAGACATGATCAGTCTATAATTTTAATGGTAGGTTTATTTGAACAGTGAGAGACAGAATAACAACAACAAAATCCAGAAAGACACATGTCAAAAATGTTATAAATTGATTTGCATTTTAATGAGGGAAATAATTATTTGACCCCTCTGCAAAACATGACTTAGTACTTGGGTGGCAAAACCCTTGTTGGCAATCAGAGGTCAGACGTTTCTTGTAGTTGGCCACCAGGTTTGCACACATCTCAGGAGGGATTTTGTTCCACTCCTCTTTGCAGATCTTCTCCAAGTCATTAAGGTTTCGAGGCTGACGTTTGGCAACTCGAACCTTCAGCTCCCTCCACAGATTTTCTATGGGATTAAGGTCTGGAGACTGGCTAGGCCACTCCAGGACCTTAATGTGCTTCTTGAGCCACTCCTTTGTTGCCTTGGCCGTGTGTTTTGGGTTATTGTCATGCTGGAATACCCATCCACGACCCATTTTCAATGCCCTGGCTGAGGGAAGGAGGTTCTCACCCAAGATTTGACGGTACATGGCCCCGTCCATCGTCCCTTTGATGCGGTGAAGTTGTCCTGTCCCCTTAGCAGAAAAACACCCCCAAGCATAATGTTTCCACCTCTATGTTTGACGGTGGGGGTGGTGTTCTTGGGGTCATAGGCAGCATTCCTCCTCCTCCAAACACGGCGAGTTGAGTTGATGCCAAAGAGCTCCACTTTGGTCTCATCTGACCACAACACTTTCACCCAGTTCTCCTCTGAATCATTCAGATGTTCATTGGCAAACTTCAGACGGGCATGTATATGTGCTTTCTTGAGCAGGGGGACCTTGCGGGCGCTGCATGATTTCAGTCCTTCACGGCATAGTGTGTTACCAATTGTTTTCTTGGTGACTATGGTCCCATCTGCCTTGAGATCATTGACAAGATCCTCCCGTGTAGTTCTGGGCTGATTCCTCACCGTTCTAATGATCATTGCATGGAGCCCCAGGCCAAGGGAAATTGACAGTTATTTTGTGTTTCTTCCATTTGCGAATAATCGCACCAACTGTTGTCACCTTCTCACCAAGCTGCTTGGCGATGGTCTTGTAGCCCATTCCAGCCTTGTGTAGGTCTACAATCTTGTCCCTGACATCCTTGGAGAGCTCTTTGGTCTTGGCCATGGTGGAGAGTTTGGAATCTGATTGATTGATTGCTTCTGTGGACAGGTGCTTTTATACAGGTAACAAACAAACTCCCTTTAAGAGTGTGCTCCTAATCTCAGCTCGTTACATGTATAAAAGA